AACTGAAATCCTTACAAAAATCTGGACTCTAACCTTTCTTAATCTGAAAGGATTCTGCTTTAATAGAGTGGCGTTCACAGCTGCAAGCCTTTCAATGGACTGGACTGAATGAATATTTGTTTCTCTGTTTATCACACATAAAGGCAAAATCAATTGTGCAGTTGATAAAGATGAAATAGACTATTTTTTTTTTTTTAAACTTTATTTAACCAGGAAGTGAAGTGCTTGATAAGCCTCTTGCCAGACTTCCTGATCTGACACGTGCAACATTAACTCTGTTTTTATTTCCAATGGTGTGAAAAAAGGGATCTCCCGGCGAGAACCTGCGTAAGCAAGGACACGTGCACAGTTATTCTATCAGTGTATGGAAGCATCAGCATTTTGTACAGTAACCAACCACTCTGTTAGATGCATCTCTTCAGCTCCTCATTAACAGATATCTAATTGGTCAATTACATGGCAGCAAGTAAATTTATGTAGGCATTTAGACTTTGTCAGGTAACCTGGTGAATTTCGAGCGTTTGAATGGGAGATGAAAGGTGATTTAAGTGATTTTTAACTTGGTTTGTGCTGGATGGGCTGTTCTGAGCGTTTCACAAACTGCTCCTCTACTGGTATATTCCTCACAGCCATCTCTAGGCTTTACAGAGACTGATCAGAAAAAGTAAATATTCAGTGACCCAATGCAAGAGGTTTTTGTTTTGTTTTGTTTTTTTTGTGTGTGGCCTTTTTCAGCCTTACTGCACAACGCAGTGAAGAGGGACAGGAAAGCGGAGGGAGGGGGGGAGGAGAAAGGGGAAGACGAAAGGGGAAGACATGTGGCAAAGGGCCGTGGGTCAGACTCAAATCCGGCCGTTCGCCCTGCTCGTCCTGGTGCAAGAGGCCTTTGGGTGAAAATGCTTTGTTGAAATCAGAAGATGATGGCCAGAGTGTTACACAACAATAGAATGGTAACAGTAACTAGTAATAACTGCTTGTTCAAGCAAGGTATGCAGAATAGCATAACCTGATGAACCTTGAAGCACACAGGCTACAGCAGCAGAAGACCACACCAGGTGCAACTACTGCCAGCTAAGAACAGGAAACTGAGGCTGCAGTTAGCACAGGCTGACCAATGGCAGATTAGAGAAAATTCAAAAATCACTGCGGAGGAGTCCAAGACTGAGGAGTCTTGGATTTGGTAGGGCATAAACAAAAGGATGGATCCCATCCTGCCTTGTGTCAGGGAGTCTAACCCAATATTGGCACGGTGTATCAAAGAGAGTGGCTGGTGAGTGTGGTTTGGTTGGTTTGTTGTAGCTCAAGTATAGTACAGCTGGATTTTGTGCTTATGTTGTTCTATTACACAAACACGAACAACAAGTCTTGATACTCTTTGTCCTGGGGTGACTGTAGAGGATAAAAATTTAAACATCAGGATATTTGTATGCCTTTGGTTTGTTTTGTTATCGATGTCATCGTTGCTACTTTCTATAATAAAAGCTCCACCCACACCACATAATAAAGCTCCACCCACAAAAACCAAAACAAAACACAAAGGAGGATGGAAGCTCTCAAAAGAAAAGTCCTATAAAAACTTAGTTGAGAGATCAAACTGAATGAGCTGCTATATACTGTATATTAATCTCAAGCTTTAGGTTTTGCAAGTCTTTCACTTTTCTGCTTCTGAGTCATTTTTAAATTCTTGTTGAGTGTAAAATGACAACTTTTCCACTTACTGACCAGCCACGGTCCCTGGGCTTCCTCATTAAACCTAATGAACCTTTAAAACTGTTATTGTTATTATGTCTGTAAATGTGCTACACAGCAGTGAGTGGGTAATACGTACCCATACCATTACAATCTGAGTGTGACGTGACTTAGAAGAGCTTCAGCCAACAGCGTTTCATTTACCTGTGATTGTCGGTAGGTTGACAAGTGTTTTGTCTCCTCCACAGCTGGCAGCCAGAGAGACAGTTGCCCTTCAGTGACGTGCGGTTGCCTCCTCCAGCCGACTATCACAAGGAAATTGGTGAAGGAGAGGAGGTGGAGGTGAGGCCTGGCTCTTTGCATATGTCTGACTCAGCTCATACACATAAATTTTCCGACATTATGTCTCAAGGCCTTGTTTTTCACTCCGACAGTCAGATAATTATTCGCCGATACTTTTCACCTGTCGTTTCAAAAATCCTGGAAAATTCTGAAGTCTTTGATAGGTACACATTTTAGATCACATATACTTTTTTCCACATTATTAATTGGAAGTACTTACAGTTTATGTTACGTGATGTATATTATCACATAGTCTGCTATACACCCAGTGATTTCAGACATGACCAGAGTTCCTGAGGCTCATTTAAAAAACCCTGAAGTTTGAATCATGGATCTTGATATAATGATTAAATACGTTACAGGTCACATCTAAAACACATTGTATATAAAATGTGTGCATATGTGTTTCTATTGCTGTGGGTGATGTTGTATTCAGACCCAATAAACGTGTTTTTGACCGTTTCTCTAACAGCCAATGAAAGAAGCAGTTCCTTCCAAAGTTAATCCGCTAGCTGGAATCATTTAACAGTAACAAACAGGAAGTTGTATAAAAAGCATCAAATACTGTGTGGCAGAGTTTATTGGACTGTTGAATATGTGCTTATCCATCAAGTAACTGTTTAAATGTGTTGTGTTCAGGCTTTTATAAACATGGTTTGGTCTGCAGTCTTTTACGAAGGACTTAAAAAGCATTTCTAAAACGATAGCATAGATCCAGCCCACACGCTTTTTACAGAGTGACATAGTTAAATTTGAATTTTTGTCACTAATGTGAGTTTAACAATCCTGACTGAGATCTGAGGACCCCGCAGATCATTTAAGTGTTGCATTCGATTGTTTTGAGATGTCTCCATAACTGAAACACGTCCCAGTCGTGGAGACTTCTCATCTGTATCTATTTAGCATTAGAGTTTTGTTTTTGTTTTCATGGAAATGCAAGTTTAAGGACACGTGGCTCTAGATAAAAAGTACCAGAAATGTCTCGTTGCAACGGTTTTTTAAGGTGTGCCAAAAAGCTTTTAAAGTTGGGACTATGGGAGTTATAGATGTGGAATCCACATAATATTAGTGGGAGCTGTTCATACAAGTGTTTGGTTAAGTTTTTACTAACCACTAAACTAATACCTGAGGTGTCTTGGGTTAAATTAGTCCCATTCAAAGTCAAACAGCTTCATTCTCTCTTTTCAAGGTGATGCTTTTTATTTATTTATTTGATTTTTAGTCAATTTGTTTTTATTTTAAAGTGGATGAGCGTGTTTCTGTCTTTTGTTTGTGGTTCAGCTTTTATTCGCTGTCTCTCCAGGTTTACTCCAGGGCCAACGAACAGGAGCCATGCGGCTGGTGGCTGGCGCGGGTCAGAATGATGAAGGGAGAAGTAAGTGTTTGCTGAGAGTAAATCTTTGAACAAGTGAGTTAAGTGGGTAAACACACAAACTGAAATTATATTTCCTGCTCTTATATAATAAAGCAAGAGAGACTAGTATGTATAACATCCTCTACCTTTGCGTTTCAAGCCCTGTTTGAACGTCTGCCCATCATCAGACAACACTTCAGTACATTTTAATACACAGTTGTTCTTTTAATCCAGCCTAATCTTTGTTTTGTGGATATGTTGAAAACTCAATAGTTACTTCCTGTTTCTAAGTTCCTGAGGCTTTCACTGAGCTGTTCAGCTGAAAGGAACTATCATAATTGAGAAGACGATATCACGCAGCGGTGATAGAATCCACCTAGGTCAGCTTCCTCTCTGTTTATTAATCAGTAAGCAGTCGTCTTTCACTTTGCCTCTGGCTGTACTGCCAGTAAGTCTTTATGGAGCTCTGAGTACTGCAGTATGCTGTGTGTAAAATAAATATAGGCCAGTAGTAAGAAGTGCTGCTGGGTAATGGGCCCAAAGAGTTTGTCCTAATCGACTCTGACATTGTACATTCAAATTACCTGTCCCGTTCACTCTGTGTGTCTTCTGCACCCTGACCTATTGTGTCAAAGTGGATTTGCACGGGACCAGTCTTTTTAAAAATTTTCAGATAATTACAAGGAGCTCTGACTCTCAGGCACCAGCTGCAGGTTGAATAGTGGGTCAGTGGGATATGGAAAGGACAGCTATGCAGGGCTAATGTGCCAAGGGAGCTGCTGCTGCTGCTGTAGTGCTGTTATTTGGAGCAGTCTGATAAGAGCCTGCAGGAATGTCTAGCATTGACTGATGGCTTTAATTCAGTCCTTTGAGCGTGGAGTGTGCAGTGTTGGTCTTGCTGCTGCACTCTTTCTGCACTACTTGTCGTGTTTTTCTGTATCTTTACTCTCATGCATCTTCTTTCACTTGATTTTATGTATATGAAATAGAAGAAAGTAGCAACAGAGTGTAGTTTTATTAGCAGCAAGACGCAGAGATGCATCTCGAGACATCTTTGACTCCATCGGAGCTTTATATATCTGTGTTTTTGTCTACTTTATTAAAAATCTGTATCTCCCGTGTTGTTTTCAGTTCTATGTGATCGAATATGCGGCGTGCGACGCCACGTACAACGAGATAGTCACGTCAGAGCGCATCAGGCCTCTAAACCCCAACAGCCCTGCCTCTCGAAACACCTTCCACAAGATCCCCATCCCCGTCCCAGAAGACCTGAGGGACATGTGAGTCCTGCATATAAACAACCCCTCACTCATGCCTCTACACATTCAAGCACTTTGCTCCCTTAGAGGTCTCATATGTTGTCAGCAATCATGCGTGTAATGATGATTCGGTGCTGCCAAACGAATAACAAGATCGACCCTGCTCTGGATTGTTTTATCGACAGCTGTGCAAACGACAACATTCACAAAGACTTCAGGAAAGCAATCGGAGCCAACTGCATCTTCTACAGTGCCCAAACACATGAGCTCATCGTGCTGGTTAGTACTCTGAACACACACTTCAGCAGACGCCTCCTGATCAAGTTAATGGCCTTGTTTTATGTCATCACGTGAAGAAATGATGCAAAGCAGCAGCAAAAAATCTCACTCGCAAATGTGAACATCAGGGAAGGCAGACAGACGAAGAGATGTGAATCCAGATAATGCTGCTAACATTATATGCACAAAAGTACTGTACCGTATACACACACTGCTACTTTGTGACTGTGTAGACATTCATTCACAAATGTTTCTAAAGGCTATAGGACTGTATACTTCTGCTAATGCTTCTGTATTTAAGAAATATAAGCGATCCCCTGAAAGTAAACAGTTTTAAGTCGAGCTCACTAGATGACTAACTTTTAAAAACATCTTAAAATCCCAACTCCTGGATGTTTGGGCCCAGCGTAGGGATATTTGAATCATGGAATAATTCAACTACAACTGTGTCATAGTGATGGCAAAGAGTTTACATTTCAGCTCCAGAAAGAGCATTTTAGCAGTGCTTTGGATTGTGGTCAATAAAGAGAAGTGTGAATCGTAAATTGCGAAGACCTTAAGTCTTATAAATTTGCTAGAGTTGAATAGCTTTACCAGAAAAAAGTCTGGCCACACAGCAGCCGTTCTGCAATGCTTTATTTGGGCAGTTATTTTAAAGCATTATCTCAATTAAAAAAACATCTATGGGCCTGCTAGAGAACTCTGATAAAAGCCACTTAAAAATGTGAAGCCTTTGGCCCAAAATAAACTTTTAAAAACCTTTTTTTAATTTCCCTCTCCTTAAAGTTTGACTTCTACCACCATCTTTTACCGCTGTAGAATTAACCCAAATTTCAGTTCAGGGCTCTCTAATAAGGGGTTCATGCCCTACACATCCCGGATGACTGTCTGTTGTGGTTTAGGAACATGTTTTTCAAAGCATTTCTTGCTCTGGGCATTGAATGTCTGTTCTGTCTGGATCGTCTTTACGAGTCGGTTATGGCTTTTGTTGTATTGGTTTACCTGATTCTGAACCTTTGTTGCCTTGTGTGTCTTATGTTGTGTCTTCAGTCCACAAATGAAACCACAGTAAAGCGTGCAGCTCTTCTGAGCGACATGCATTTCCGGAGCATCCGTACCAAGCTTATGCTAATGTCCCGCAATGAAGAAGCCACCAAACATTTGGAGGTAATACATTCTGTCAACTACATGTGTCTCCCTGATCATTTAAATCCTAGCCATGCATCTTGGCAAGCAACCTTGCGTTTCCCCTCTCCTAGACAAGTAAGCAGTTAGCATCGGCGTACCAAGAGGAGGTGAGGGTCAGGGAGGACCTGATGGGCCTCGCCATCGGCTCCCACGGTGCCAACATCCAGCAAGCGAGGAAGGTGCCTGGTGTTACAGCGATCGAGCTGGAGGAGGAAAGCTGCACGTTCAGGATCTATGGAGAGGTACGCTGGTTAAGGAGGCTTTCTGCTGCTGTTTTTGGAGAAGCAAGCAGGAGAAAACAAATGATCCTTTTTTACATACAGCACTGACAGTTCACTGTTAGTGAATGTAGGTGGGCAAATATCATCTGAAGCACTGAAACCATAACATTTGTTTGGTTCTCTTTTACTATTTTAAAACTTTAATCCTGATTGGATCAATGGAATAACAATTCAGTTGATCCATTCAGGCTGTTGCCAGTGTGAGATGGCAATTATAGGCTACATGAGGTGATTTATTGGATGTAGGGATGTCTTAAAACATAAGATTATGAGTGATGGATTGAGAATATTGACTCTTTTTGCCAGTGCGTAGAAATGCAGAGAAACTAAACTGCCTGCTTGTCAAAGTCTGTGTTCAGATTTGGACTTTGGTCTTAAACTCAATTAGTGTTTACCCTACCGTTGCCAGTCACCCCCGCCTGCCCCAGAAGCCACTGAAGATAATAATTTAAAAACATGCATAATAATAATGAAACAGATTTTAATTACTTTATCTAATTAATGTGAGAGTTGCATTAAGCACTAACTTTTTAGATTGTATATTTGGTCACTAGACTTGTGCATGTGGCTGTTATTGAATGAGAGAGGGCAGCACAGCAGGCAGTAGTTAATGAGAACTCGCTATCTTACAACGAACGGATAAATGCAGAAGTACTGCAAACATCCGAGTCTGAGCAAAGCTGTCAGAGTCCTGGCTAGAGCAGCACTGCTTCCACAGTGTGTCCGTCTTCCCCCCCGACATTCAACCGGTCACAGTAGAATGCTGCCCCTCTCTGAGCCTGGTTCTGTAGGAGGGTTCTTCCTGTTAAAAGGGAGTTTTTCCTTCCCACTGTTGCCAAGTGGTTGTTGAAAAGGAGTCATTTGATTCGTGGGATTTTTCTCTGTATTACTGTAGGGTAGAGACACCTGTTGATGGGATTTAGTGCTGTATAAATAAAATTGAAACTTCATAAGGGCCACAGTTCTTTTTTTAGCGCAGAATAATGCACTGAAACGGAATAAATTTTTTTTGCTGTGCATACTTTCATTTTGGTTCTTATGTGCCGTACACTGCATTGTTTGTGTTGTTACAGACCCCAGAGGCAGTGAAGCAGGCCAGAGAGTATCTCGAGTTCAAGGAAGACTACTTTCAGGTACCCAGGAACCTTGTAGGTGAGTGAACAACATAACATTCCTGAGAGTTCATTTTGCTGCTGACATTCTGCTTCATCACCACACCATATTCCTGATTGGAACATTCTTTCACCCTTTCCGCTTTCCCCGTTGCGCAGGCAAAGTCATCGGCAAAAACGGCAAAGTCATCCAGGAGATTGTGGACAAGTCGGGCGTGGTCCGTGTCAGGATCGAGGGAGACAACGACAAAAAGCTTCCCCGCGAGGAGGTAGGCAGGCAGGGGGCTGGCAGGGACGACACTGCCAGCAGCAAAGAGGTGAATGGACCGATCGGCTGCTCTCCCAGACCCTCCTATAACCTCCCCAACCCTCCCCCCTTCACCATCCCTCTTCCCTCGTCTCTCCAATCAGAAAAGCTACTTAACTGCAGCAGCGTGCAAGCGTCCCATGTGCTGTCTGCTTTGACTCTGTTCTTTCTGCTGCTGCTTTGTATCTTGTTTTGTCACAGAGTTTGCTTTGCTTTCCACACACAGCCCACTGCACAGCATATATGTTATACTGGGCTGGTTAGCCATCTGTGGTCTGATGGGTTGGTATGCTCCTGTTGAGTGTGCAATTTAAGTATATAGTTGCTCTTCAGTTGCTCATTGTTTAAACTGATGATTATCTGTTTCCTTTCTTTAAGGGGGAAAAAAAAGACCTTCAGCTTTTAATTCCTCCTCCTCTCTGCTGTTGTTTCAGGGCATGGTTCCCTTTGTGTTTGTGGGAACCAAGGAGAACATCAGCAACGCTCAGGCTCTGTTGGAGTACCACGTGTCCTATCTCCAGGTTTGTCAGTCTTCCATTTTTACCAGTAGATGGCACCACTGCTTTTTGTTTTTTGTCTTTTTTTTGTGACAGAAAAAGATAAAAGCAGTGTATTTTCTGTCTCTGCCACCTCGACTTTATTTGAATACACGTGTTCATTCCACAACAATTATTTCTTCTTCTTTGGGAACGTGGCGTAGGTGTGTATCGGTCACCTGTCTCTCGACTTTCCAGCTCCACATGAGGAAAGCTGCTGAGAGCTCCTTATTTTGCCCTTACCTCATGTGCTTTTATAAATAGCTCCTCTCTACGGGATGGGGTGGAGAGTATGCCTGAGTATAGATTACCAGCTATCTGGACCCTCAGTGTTCAAAAATAACATCAGACCCCCTCCTGTCGCCCCTCCCTTCCTTCACACTTCCCTTGAGGTTCAGCTGTCATTGGTGGAGACAGCTGTCACACCGTGAACTGAGACCCTTCTCCCCACTAAATCCTCCTCTAGATCACCCACTTCTAAACTGCCATTAGTCACCACTGCCCACTCATCTACTATTTAACAAAAAAAAAAGCTTTTAATTTATTGAAGGTGTCATCAAATTTGATAAACTGATACCTTTAAGTTTATCCCTGCTGTCAAGTTGTTTTATTAGAGGGCTGTGGGAGAGGTTATCGGTTTATTGGCTGTTGCTTATGTGGTATCCTCTCCAGCAAGATGATACAGAGATCCAACCAACTGGACAATCTCTGCAGAACCACTCAGCATCTGTGACTTGAACTGACTGAGAACATGTGAGCAAGCAGACTGTGGAGCTCTTTGTTATCCTTTAGAGATTTAGTAAGTGGGGGGGGGGGGTGCATTTCTAAAAGTGTAAAGGCAGCAGTTTGCTTTAAAAAAAAAAAGAGACTGTAATTGATGGCAGGCATGCCTGTGTCTGTGTGACAGATACAGCTGCTTGTTCAACCCTCGACTATGAATTAATGTTTATCGCAGTCAGCCGGTCCATCTGTTAAAAATCACTAGGTGAACACAAGTGGGTGTTCTGTGAGAATGCTCAGGTTGAACTTCACCAATTGCTGCCACCCAGTGGTGAGCGGTAGGCTTATTAAGAGAACCAAAGCAAAGCAAGGCCCACAACATATGGGAGCTCTAGGCCCAACAGAATAATCTTGTGTGAGTGGACTCTTGAGTCCTTTCTGTTCGCGGAACAGGCTCTTAAATGCGATTTGTCCCCGACCTGTAGGAGGTGGAGCAGCTGCGCCTTGAGCGCCTGCAGATTGACGAGCAGCTCCGTCAGATCGGGGTTGGGTACCGCGCGCCTACCGGCCGAACCGGGGGCCCTGGTGTTGATCGAGAGAAAGGCTACCTGACAGATGAAAGCACCAATTCACTCCACACTCGAACCTACGGGGGCCGCGGCAGAGGGCGAAGGGCCTCCAACAGTCAGTACTCCGGATATGGTGAGAGTTACAGAGTTCAAATTTGACTTTAACGTGCAGTTGTAATAATACAATACAGTAATAGTACAACATAAGATTCAGTCATGAAATAAATTAAAAATAATTTTTTATTTGATTGTCTACCTAATGCAGGCACAAACTCTGAGCTGTCCAATGCCTCTGAGTCAGAGGACCCCACCGAGCGAGACCAGAGGCCCCGTGGAATAGGCAACGATGAGAGGGGATCCCGACGGGGTGGTAGGGGCCGAGGATCCAACTCAGGACGAGGTCGCGGAGGGCCAGGATCCAAGCCTTCGAATTCAATCAGCTCAGGTAACCCTCTTTGTACCTAATGACACATATGGCATCCCTTTTCTCCCAAAAGATCATAACAAAGAATGGGAGAAACAATTTTCTTCTCTTTACAGCTGTCTGAAGCCTGAGCTTGCCCGAGCTTGCAGCTTACTTGAGCTGACTTCTTTATTTATGACTGCTAAGTTTAACATGAACATCCACCTTAGTAACAGTCTATATAAGAACTTTAAAATTAAGAAACCAAATGTATTTTTGGTGCAAGCAGCTACTGAAGACTTTCCGAGAAGCAGCGGGCAAGCAGTTTTTTGTAATTGAGCCTGAAAGGTGTGGTCCTCTTAATGAAGTGAAGAGAAAAACCTGAAAAACCTCTAAGCTTCATCCTTCAGTCAGAAAAGGTTTACTGCAGGTCGTTATGTTAAAACTGCACTCATTAAATGGAAGAAACGATACACAAGTGTTAAACTATTGTTTTGTCACCTGAACAGTACTGAAGGACCCAGACAGTAATCCATACTCCCTGCTGGAGGGTGAAGGAGAGCTGGCTGACGCAGACATCAGTGAAGGCATGGGAGACCGCCGCAGACGATCCCGCCGCCGCCGGAACGACCAGGAGCCCAGTGTCATGGACGCAGCTGCAGAGTCGGACAGCCAGGCCGGCCCGAGTGAGAACGGACTAGGTGAGAGTTGCGGTGTTGCGTTCTCCTTGTTGAAACTTGTTGCCGTGCGTTCGTGGTTAGTCGAGCAGAAATCCGAAACTTTTGGAGGGAGATGATCTACATTTTCTAATTTGACTGTTAGATGAAGAAGCCCGGCCTCAGCGCCGCAACCGAAGCCGCCGCCGCCGTAACCGTGGCAACCGCCCAGAGGGAGGTTCAACCAGCCGTGACAGACAGCCAGAAAGTGGTGAGTTGCTGTCCTTTTACTAGTTTAGCTATTTTACTTTCCACTTTCAGAATGAACACACACCCCCAGCTGCTGTTCTAGCTAACAGACTTCAATGTTTCCAGTGACTGTTGCTGACTACATATCCCGCGCCGAGTCCCAGAGCAGACAGAACCTGCCCCAGAAGGAAAACCACGCTGCCCCTGAGCCCAAGGTACAAGCTGACATATGCACAGACACTATCCCCCCCCACCCCCGATGTTTCGGTTATATATCGGCTACATTTTGAAGTTCATTTTGTCATTTGCGTTCATTCTAAGTGAATGAGGTGATTGATTCACCAGGGGACAGTTCCTCTCACAGAGCAGGCTGAACTTAGCCAGGCTATCTTTGCTTTTGCTGCCATGACAGAAACTAAAACGCCCCTCAGAGATAATCTCTCACAGCATTGGTTATCACCTTTCTTTCTTAACGCTACGTTCACCAAGGCAGCAGAGCAGAACAACGGCTACTGCAGTTTTAGCTTGTTCATGAGATGAAGCACTCGGGGTGAGGGCAGCTATTATGTACTTAAAAAAGCATAGTTACACCGTGTTCCCCTCCTGCTTGCAGAAAAATGATCTAATTCTGTGGTAAACAAGGCAGTGATCTCAGCTTTAGCTCAGTGACAATTCTCACTTTGATCTACGTTTTGCACCCGCAGGAGAACGGCACCACCGCCAAGAAGGAAGAGCGAACGCCCTCGAAGCGTTCCCCCAGCAAAGGATTGACCTCGGCCAGCGAGACCCTGACCTTGGTCAACGGGGTCTCATAAAGAGACGAGCGAACCCTTGCGAACCCAAGTCTAGAGCAAGACTCCATGGCAAACTCTGTCCCTGCTTGCATTAACTTAAACCTTAAACAGATGAGTGAAAAAGTACCTGACAAAATACCTGAGTTCATACTACGAGAGTGAAAAAGTACAAAAAAACGACAAACGCATCTACTTAAAACCACACGTTAACGGTGTATGCTATCCTATCTATCAGTACTTAGTGCTTATTTAAAAGAAAAAAAAGAGGAAAAAAACAACTAGCTTGCCAAAAAAGAGCTGGTGGATATGACTTGATTTTTAAAAATACTGAAACACGAGAAACAGGACGAGACGTTTTTTTTTTTTTTTTGTTGTTGTTTGTTTTTTGTTTTGAACTGTTTGTCTTTATTTCTGTTAATGTTAATTTTGTTCATTGTTTATCACTGGTTTCGACTCGGCGGTCGCTCTCTCAACCAAAACAGACGCATCTCTTTATAACGGTGTTTAAAGTGCACACAGGAGAGATGTAAAGCTGTATGAGCAGACAGTCCGGCTCATGTGACGCCATGTTCGCACACTGAACCTGGGAGTGAAGACGGATTGGAATACAGATAGACATTGTGCCTTGAATTTGAAAAACAAATATATATATATAAACACATAAAAAAAAACACAAAAAAAACGTTGTTTTTTTTTCCATTAAGTTTGTTTTTGAGGGGAGAAAACGAGTTCTTCTTCCAGGTTTTTTTTTTTTCTTTCTGTTTTTGGTTTGAAGGAGAGAACAGATCTGTGAGGGAGTGATGAGGAAAAACAAAAGCAAAAAAGGAGGATGCAGAAACAGATGGCGTGGGTGGCCGATGTGAGGAAAATTCAATCTGGTGCCAAACGCGAAATTCAAGGCGCTTGTTCTCATTCCGCGTAGAACGGACGGCGTTAGGGGAGGTAAGTGTGGGGGAATGGAAGAGGAGCGGGGTCGGCGCGTGTGTCTGTCTGTGTGTGAACAGTTGAGACATTTGGCAACAACAAAAATTTTAAACTGAGAGCGGATGACGTTGGGAAAACCTAACGTAGCCCGAGGGGCGTTGTCACGGCATGTGTCTCTTCCTCCTCTCGCCTGTTTCAGGTCCTTGGAATTGTTCCAGGGCCGGCACCCCGGTGCAGCCCCGCAAACAGGATGGGCTGAGACCAGACCGACCGCACACTTGAACTGTTAAGATTTCGACTTAGAGAGAACTACACCGTGCCTCTTTCTGTGTCAGAGGGGCGGCGGCGCTAGCTTCCAGCCACACTTAGTGTCTTGATTAAAACCACTGCAGTGCACAGCTCCAGACGCACACGAAGGGGGGGGGAGCGCGACCACCTTTTCTGGGACGGGTGCTGCTAGTGACGTGGGAAGGGGTGGGGAGAGCCTGGAGACTGCAGACTGTGGGAACGGGACAGCTTAAAATGACATGAGAGCCACACGACACACAGGCCCACATTTACAGGTACACACACACCAGGTCGGCGTGGTCGCCCGCGTAGTGCAAAAGTAGAGGACCCAAAAACTCTGAGCGAGCGAGGTTGTCCGTCTTTTGTACCTGGCGGTTTGGGGTAATTTTTTTATTTGTTTTCTTTGTTTTCGGCATACGGAGTAAGAGACGGACTCGAAAACCTCAGCGGCTCTCTGCTCATGTTGTTACTGTTGTCTTGGTTGTCGCTCTCAAGTTCTTTTTGTTGCTCTTTCCACATCGTAGAAAATATGAAATAAAAAACTGAAGTGAAATCAACCTCTTCTGTGGAGATGAACTTTGATTTCTCTTGTCTTGTGAGTTTGCAGTCTATTTTTCTAACTTGCATGGCCATTCGAGTAGTAGGTGGTGCCTGTCCTGTGCATGAGGGAAAAAAGGGGTGTTGTTAATCTGACTTACAAAGCCATTGTTTCATTCACTAGAATTGCTGCTAATGTACACACTGAATGTCCAACTAACGTAGAAACTCTACCATGAAGAGAGGAAAAAACTATTTGTGACTGATTTTTCTGTTTTTTTTCTCTCTCCCCCTCCAATACTTATATATCTGCCCAGACCCCCAACCCCCCACACACACTCTGTTGGCGGGTACGAGTCAGGAAGGGACCGGTTCCTTTTACTTACAAGTTTTCAGAGTTTCAAAAGTGTTAAATTGTGAAATTACAAAGGGCGACATTGTGCATGACAAGCAAGCATCCACATGACCAAAGGTTTTGAGAGACAGACGAATGGGAGTGTGGTTGACTCAAGATGACCCAGATGCTGCTGTTTTACATTTCTGCTCACCTGTATGTTGTGTTTTTAGAGGATGATCGAACACTTGAGTATTTGTACCTTGGTTCAGTTGCATGTGTGCGAGTGGAGGATGAAGCCTTGCGTGGTATGTTTGTGTTTACCTTTATACCTCATTGTGTGAGTACTGTATTCCCTAATGTATCTGTATCCCTCGCGTCCTGTTGAAAGACTGCTGCGTGTGTGTGTGCGTGCGCGCACGTGCGTCTGCGTGGATGCTGGTTGTACAGTCGACTCCTCACTCTGTCAGATTTTGTCTCTGGTTTTCTCACTCATGTTCTGATGGCAATAAAGGACTTTTCATTGTTTGGTATACATTTTTTTTTTCTTTTTAACATATACAAAACAAACCACATTAGATTAGGATGTTATGTTGATGCGAGTGTACTTCAGTGTAATAATTAGGGGACGATCGCAATGGTGTCTTCTGAGTTGTAAAAAGAAAAATTATGGATGATATAACTGTTCCTACTGCAGTGTTAAATTTGTCCCAGGCTATTTTAAGCAAGCCTATTTTGAATTTAAAGAAGCATCGTCTGTTATTTCCAGTATTTGGTTGGCCATTATCTCACACCACCCCTCCTACCCTCTTTTTCATTAAAAATTTTTCAGTAAATGAGCATAGTGAGGTTTAATTAGATGTGAGGAAAATCTTTCAAAGAACCATTTTTGCACCTGAAAGAACAGATTTTTAAAGGGATTTAAGACCTTTGTTCAACTCTACCAACCGTTCATGGCAGATAGTCAACCCTCTCTGAGCTTGGTCTTCTCCTGCAGGCATCTTCCTGTTAAAAAGTTTGTTTTTTGTTTTTTCTCCCCACTGTCACCAAGTGCTTGCTCATAGTGGGTGGTCTGCTGTAATATTTTAAGTTTTTTATTTTACAATATAAAGCATGTTAAGGTGACTTATTGTGATATGGAATAATTAAAGTACAATACTTTAAATGTCTAATACAGATATGAGACCCCACCCTCTATCTGATCAAATGTCTCTTTAAAACTTGTACTTTTACACAGTAGTGATTCAGCGGGGTATTTACAGCAACATAGTTTCTATTTGCCCGTACAAATGGTGAGTCATCACTTCTTTAGTGACCGGGTCAGCCCATCTTAAGGATGAGTGCAGATCGCTATAAATGAAAACGCAGCTGATCAAATTTCAAAGCAAAAAGAGACAAATGTGTGATTAAAAGTGCTTGAAATAAACCAAGAAGAGAGAAATGTACTATAATACAAGAATATGGCTGCTTTCTTTGATAGACAGCAGCTTCTGCATTAAAACTGATAGAAGTCACAAGCTTTTAGAGACAGGGTGGTGGAGAAACATCCTTTCATGGTTGTGTTTGCAGAGTTTGATTTTACGTACATACATAAATCTGATGGTGGATACAAAAAGGATTTTTTGGGGGGGAAATGAAAGACTTTATTCAGCAGGTAAGGATATTAGTATATTATACCCAGAGTTTTGCCAAATTAGTGTCCAGTATAATCCAGGATTTGAGACTGGACATTGTCTCTTTTGTAACATTCTGTTGGGGGACATTATAATGTGTAGATGTTAAAGAGTGATAAATATAAATGCACCGCAAACATTAGTATGAGTAGATGATAACAATGTAGGCTACATAAGTAAAGGTAAAACAAAAGGAAATTCATGCAGTACTCACACACTGGGAAAAATATATTGATATATATGGCCAGTAGTATAACATCCTTTTATTTACCATCAGCCTATTTCTTCAAGGCAACTGGTGCTACTGTGCATGACATCTTACATAAAAAGGTTTTATGGCTTGAGACACACACATTCACAACAGCTTGCCCTCAGCAGGTTTCCTCCTTGTTAGATAAAGAAGTGATTTTATCAAAACTGGGGTGTCACCTGATTAGTTACCCTAAGTAATGATGAGTCAACTCCTTTGCGTTTTTCTGTCTGTGTCTCCCTCTACTGGAAGTTTACTGTTATGTCACATTTGCAGACTTTATGTATAACTGCTAAATAAATGTCTTAAGTTGTAAGTTTTTAAAGGGCATTTTAGCAAAAGTAAAGCAGTGGTTCAATGATGAAAAACAGTCTTAGTTTCCCTCATAAGAATATGTCATTCTAATAATCTAATGCTGATGCTAAATAAGTAATGTTTAATAATGCACTGCAACCTCATGTAAAAAGATCTAGCGACATTAGTAATTGCTTTTTGTACACAGATGGCAATTTGAATAATTCTATAATTTTATATAGTGTGTTTAAAAAAAAGAAGCTAAATTACACAAGATCATATGATCTTAATGTTGTTATTATTTAGATTTTAAGATGTTATCAACATGCCCTTCAAATACTTGCTACTGATAAGAAATAATGATGTGAGTTAATGATACTTAGCTAAGGAGAAAAAAAATATTCAGCTTTAAATTTGAAGGAAGTTCCATTGAGTATTATAACACAAGTTTCAGACTGACCCAGTGGTTATTATGTAAGCAAGTAAGTGACCGCAAGAATTTCCAATTTCCATAATTTGGCGTGCAGCAGTCACATGAACTGTGAAGGTAAAGCAAACACAGGTTCGGTGTTAGAGAAGACATGAAAAACAAGAGCAGCGCCTTATTTTGCGTACTTGTTGTTCTCCTTTGCTGCTCACTTATGTCGGGTTATGAGACATCGATTCTGCGCAGTTTACGACATTTTTACTCTCATATAGTAAACTTTTAACTTAGAAATAAGTTCTATAAGTTGTCACTATTCACTCACTGCGTTTACTGTGAGCAATACAGCGAGAGGTTAAGGCCGTCTTTTTTTAAGCATTTATTTTTAGGGTATTTTTAGTG